AACCCCTGCCCCCTGCTGCTGGCTGCGCATGGGGGAGCCCATGGGCCATGAGCTGTGACCTCAAGACCGGAACGGAGATGGGCCCTAAATGTGGGCAGGCACCCTTAATGCTGACTTCCTTTTCTTGTTGATTTCAGAGAGGGACAGAGAGATGGAAACCTCAGTGAGGAGAATCACTGGTCGGCTGCCTCCTGCTCGCCCCACACTGGGGACCGAGCCCGAAGCCCGAGCATGTGACCTTGACCGGAATCGAATGCAGGGGACCCTCCAGTCAGCAGGCCGACGCTCTACCCACTGCGCCACACCAGCCAGGGCGATGCTGGCTTTTTCTTAGGGACGGGGAGGCGGCCTCTTCTGTCCCATGTGTAGGCTCATCCGCCGTAGCCATAATGGAGGGAACCCCAGGACACGCCCAGGCCCTTCCCTGTTCCGTGAGCACAGCCCGGCCACAGGGACAGAGAGATGGAAACCTCAGTGAGGAGAATCACTGGTCGGCTGCCTCCTGCTCGCCCCACACTGGGGACCGAGCCCGAAGCCCGAGCATGTGACCTTGACCGGAATCGAATGCAGGGGACCCTCCAGTCAGCAGGCCGACGCTCTACCCACTGCGCCACACCAGCCAGGGCGATGCTGGCTTTTTCTTAGGGACGGGGAGGCGGCCTCTTCTGTCCCATGTGTAGGCTCATCCACAGCTACTACAGACGCAGAGTGAGTCCTCAGGGATCATAACGCATAGAAGGCTCTCAACGCCAAGCCCCTGGCCATGTTGGCATCGGGCGGCATGAGCCTGACCCTCTCCGCTCCTTGAGCTGGAAACGGGTGACGCATCAGCAAACAGCCCTTGGGGGCCTCTGCCTGGATTTTACTGGATGTCACCTTACTGTGAAGAGAGGTGCTGTGTCCCCCCATGCGGGGCGGGGGGGCAGCTAAGCGCTGTGGGCCTGCCCGCCTCGGGGAGGGGCAGGGCCTGGCAGAAGGTCTCTTGCTTGAGTCACAGATGCTGCGTCAGCGCTCCCTGGGCGCAGAGCAGAGCCAGAGTAGCGACCGTCTCTGGGACAAAGGCCCTCGGCCCAAGGAGCCCTCACGCCCGGCCGCTACCGGCTCCAACACGGCTCGGGGAGCCCAGCCAGTGCAGAGGCCACCCCAGCCTCAGCATGGCCTCGGGGGCGCTCTCCAGGAGGCCTGGGCCTCCCCAGCAGACGCTGTCGGGTGAGAACAGAGTGCGGGGCCTGGTGCTGCGAGGCGACCTGGCCTGGGGCTCAGCTGGTTGAGCGTCGGAGTCTGATGGTCAGGCTTTGGGCTCGATCCCCAGTGGGGGGCGTGCAGGAGGCCGCGATGGATGATTCTCTCTCATCACTGATGTTTCCACCTCTCTCTCCCTCTCCCTTCCTCTCTGAAATCAATAAAAATATATTTTAGAATAAAAAAGAATTGAAGCACAGTAACCTCCATCTTGGTAAAAACTGCTGTCTAAAATTTTAACCCTGCTATTCTGGCTTCTGTAAGCGTTTGCTTGCTTAAAAAATGGGGAAAACAAGACCACTCCCCACTCCAGGGAGGCCAGAAACCATGCCCCAGACAGAGCTGTCAGTGCTGTGGTCGCACAGCCCCTTCCCAGCGCGCAGGCCCTTCCTCAGGAGGCCCGGAAGTCTCGCTCCAAACTTGGGAGACAAAGAGCTGAAAAAAGTATAAATAGGAGACTTCCTCCACGTGGGGCCCAGAATTTGACAGAGACACTCTGCTCTGAGCCCGCCAGCGCGAGCGTAATAAGAAAAGACTCCACATTAATTTGGCTGATCGATCAAGGCGTCTTCTGATTTACAGTAAGTCAGAAGCCGGAGACGGGGAAGGACGGAAGTCGCTGAGCGCAGCCTCGTCCCGCTTTGGGGGTGTCACCGCGTCGCACACGCAGGGGACACACTCACGATGGTTGTCTTCCCCGAGGCGGGCGGGCCCAGGACCACGATCTTCGGCACTGCGGGAGGAAGGTGCGCGTCACCGCGTGTGCGCTCGGCCAAGTGGCCTCCCGCCCGCCGACGCCGGGGCACAGCGTTTATCCCTCCTCCGGGTTTCGTTTTCTGCAGGTGACACGCGTTTGTAACCGCGGTTCCCGCCAGAGAACATTCTCTGTGCGTAGAGGTAAGTGATCGCGGAGACAGCTCATTTTTCTGTCTCCGAGGGAACACGGGCGGACGCGGTGAGTTTGCCAAACTAATAAATATCAGGAACAACTGAGACTCCGAACGTCGGAAAGCATTTAAACAGGGGCTTTGTCTCAGGGATAAAGCGGCATTTTATGTAAATCGACCTCGGAAGCTTTCCCCCTATATTCATGCCCTCTTACTTAGCGAACTGAGTTCCCACCAGTTTACAGAGGGGAGTATGGGGAGCCTGCAGGTAGGGGCCGGGTTAAAACCCGGACAGGGGCGTCTTTGTTTTCAAATACGGGCATTTCTAGGCACAGGGAACACAGCTGCGGCTGCAGGGGGCTCCCGGCTGGTCAGGCTCTCCCCGCCCAGAATCCCCACGGTGGCTCCCAGGCCACCTCGAGGGGCAGCTGCCGGAAGACCAGCACCTGAAGGTCCACAGGGTGGAGGTGCGTGTGCTGGGCTCCAAACTCAGGAACCGCAGGAACTGGAACGAGGCGCCTGGACCCTGACCCCTCCCCTAACGGGGGGGAGCCAGGGGCAGAGCAGAGGTGGGACGATGGACAGAGGTGGCCCGTGCAGTGGACGGACGGGCGCCATCCCCAGCTGGGAGTGGACACAGAGAAGGACCGAGAGGGCCCACGATGGAAGGAGCAGCAGCCCACACCCAGCAGGCGGCCTGGGTTAGCAGCCTTTGCCCAGCTTCACAGCACCTGCTCGTCTTCCGGGAAAATGCGGGGAGAAAGTCCAAGGTCATTCAAGCTGAGTCCCCGTGCTCACGGAGCGCCTCCTCCGTGCTGGGCGCTGGGCCGGCGGCGGCGCACTGACACGGAGGGGTCCTCCTCTGCCCGCCTGGGACACGGGACCACTCTCTCCTCAGAACACGCGTGACGGGACACTGTCCCGGCTCTGCCGCTGTGGGATTTCCAACTTGCGGCTCCAGAACACGGCTGTTTCTGCGTCGCGAAACCCTCGCAAGTCTGGCTCACCGGCCCCACCCATGTGTGAGGGGCAGAACTTGCTTCTTGGACGCCCCCTCTCCTGTGGGGGGTGATGTGGGTCGGGGATGGGGGGCAGGAGGTGCGCCTGGAGCCCCTCCAGGGCCTGGCCGCCTGCGGGAGGCGCTGCGAGGCTCCGCCCA